ATCGCTACTAGGTTGGAGGCTATCGCTACTAGGTTGGAGGCTATCGCTACTAGGTTGGAGGCTATCGCTACTAGTAACAATAAAGTGCTTTTTACGTGTTTTTTTTGTGCGAGTTTTCGCCCACCCAGGATTGGCCGACCCTCCACTGAGCCGGACCCCAAGCCAAGTGCAAGAGCTCCAGGCCTTCCCTCTCCGGGTCGAAGGAAGAGCGATGTTTTCAGCAAGTCAGTTTGGGTCAGTTGTTTTTTTTGAAGCGATGTTCAGTATATATTTATTTTCTCTGAGATGTTTGAGACGCTAACTTTTGCAAATGCCCAGCTCTGGTTAACTGTGGTCCTTGAGCGACCACGCCGGGGTCGGCGAGCCATGTTCCACGAGCCGACCCCAACTCCGGAGTTTTCTCGGGAGCGATATCGAAAAGCATTGACTTGACTTGATAAGACTTGCTCTTGCTTTCTTTCCCTGCTTGGGAGGTCCAAAGACCTATCCGGATTTGAAGGTTCATTTTCAAACACTCGATTTGGTGCGGAAGCTCAGCGTTTCATGTGTTTGCTCCGTCCGGACTCATGGTAGGGTACCAGTCTCCCTCCGCTTGTTTCCAGCACATGTGTGCTGTGCACGCTGCTGTGCGCAACCTTGGCTCAATAGAGTAGGATGGGAAAGTTTTTGTTGTTTGGATCATGGCGTGGCGTGATGGCCAAAGAGAGTCAGCGAGAGATTGGCGTTGATTTTCTGGACAGACGGAATCAACGTCAATCAGGATGGATACTGTTAGTGCTGCGGAGAAGTCTTTGGATCAAAATGTGGAAGACGAGGACGAAGAGGAGGAGGAGATCATGTTGGAGTCTGAAAAAGAGGCCGCGCGGAGAGCTTTTGCAGCCATGTTGGAAAGGGAGGGAAGCTTTCCCGAATCGTCAGATTCATCAAGTGAAGAGGAGGCGGATGTTGCAAGAACCACCGCTCAGGAGCCGGCTTGCATCGAGCGGATTCGGCTACCTGACCGGATTCGAAACCGCTACACCTTTTTAGAACTGCTTCATGAAAATCATGGCCGTCGGGTCTACTTTTGCGACGCCCTCACTCAAGGTGGAAGTGGAGAAAACCGCTGTGTGTTGAAGGTGTGGTATAAATCTTCGCAGGAAGCCGACATGCTGGAATCAGTGATCAAGGGTCAGCTTGAACTGATGGACTTACAACGTCATGCCAACGTGGTACAGCCGTGCAGGATCTTGGAGGACGACTCGTGCTACTATGTGGAATTTCATGCCGTCTTGGCTGGCAGCTCTTTGTTCCAGACGATTGTGGCAGATGCGTCCACCACAGAGCGGTGGATCAAGAGAGTCTTCCGGGGTATCTTTCGTGGGCTGGCGCACTTGCATGATCATGGCCTGACGCACGGGGACATCAAACCGGAGAATGTCTTGCTTGAGTGGAAGGGCTATCGCGAGCTGCTCTCCAAGCATGCGAAGCATCCCAAAGCCTGGCTTTCCGTGAAAAAGTCTGTGAGACGTTGGAAATGCCCCACACACTTCAAGACGGCTTGGACGCGGCATCAGTTGGTGGCTCATGTTCGCATCATCGATTTAGATACCGCCTCCCGCTCTCCCAAAGGGATTTGCGGGACGCCTGGCTACATGTCTCCAGAGGAATATGTATCAGATTCCACCCCTGCAGGGGATCTATTTGCAGAACCTCGGATGCAATGGTCAAACATGGTCCTGGTCGAACAGTCAGATCCAAAATATGCTAGGAAAGGACACTCGCCTAAATAACGCTCGTGGGTTCAAACAAATTATGCGCTTCTTCTATATTGTTCTTAGTGTTGTTCTTGTAAGGCTATCCTCGTACCCCCTTAACGCTCCTTGCGTTGAACGGGGCCTTCCGTTGCTTCCGCTCCTTTCGGTCGACCGGTGGGGCGTCCCAAGTGCCGAGAAAGGTGGGCGTCATGCTGTACCAGCTCATGCGCTGCGTGTGCCCCTTCCATGAGACAGTATTTCGAGCGGCTTGACGGGGCGAGGGATGGAATCTAGGGATCAAATCGCTCAGAGGGATGGAATGAGCCTTCACTTGGTGTGTGGTGAGGGGACCTAACATCATGCAAAAAACGGGTCTGGCCCCAATACTCGTGTTAGAAAAAGATCCCGGAAAGGATCCTAAAGGCCTAATCACAAAGATTGGGCTTTCCATCTTAGGAGGTCTGATGACTTACCACTTACCGGTCTTCACCGGAAGGGTCCTGTCGTCCTTTGCGTTTGGTGTTCCCGAGGTCCTGCGAGGCAGACCTTTGGACGGCGTGAGCGCTGAAACGAGAGAGGAGATCGCCGAGGCCGTGGAAGTGGTGGTCTCTTGGAGGAAAAGTTCATGTGCAGCTGGGCCCCCCCCCCAAAAAAAATAGGACTCCAAAAGCTGAAGAGATGTGTTTTCAAAGCCTCCGCAGCCAACGCCTCACATGAGGTGTGTTGAAAGATTGATGTAGATGTGCGTTGATGCTTTGGTGTTGAAAAGTCATGCCTAGATGCTCTTGAGCCTTCGATATAAGCATGTTTGTGATTCGCCTTGTTTATCATTTTTTCAATATGCACATGCTGGTCCACTGCAAGGTGAGCCACATCGACTGGACTGAACACCCGTGGCCTGCACTACCAAAGGCTAGGGACTTGTGTCAGCAGCTGTTACATGCAGATCCTGCAGAAAGAGGCTGGGGTTCGAAGCAGTGATGTTGCCAAGCTTCCGCAAGGGAAGCTCGGGCGTGGATGGGTGGGAAGTTTTATGTTTGACTACCCACCTTGAATCCATATTATGGGAGTTGATCTAAGGGGGCGTGCAAGCTGTTTATATGAAAAGACCTTTTAGATGCTGTGAGGCTCGCAAAAGTACAGTGGTTTTTTCGCGAATGATTTTTTGAAGGTGTTCGTTTTCATTTTTTAGAGCTCCGCAAACCAGCGATGCCATGAGGGTTGTTGTTGCGGTTGTTGGTCATTGGCTTTGTTGACTTGCACGCGCGCAAAAAATACTTTTTCTGCAGCGTGTGTTTGGCGCGCGCAGGCGATGAATCTCTGCAAGAAACATTGTATTTACTTGTGTTTGCATTCGGGGGCAAAACACACCGTAAATGTTGATGTGTTTGGCCGTCAGCAAACAAATTGTATTTACGTGTTTGCTGGGGGTGCGAAAACCAAGGTTTTTACGGGGTGTCTTACACATTTGCTGCCAAAAACGCATTATTTACCCAGTGTTGATCATGTTGCTAGCAGTGACATGTTCATTCAACCATAGCACAAACACTGTAATTTGCAATGTTGTTGTCGACTGAACGTCGCAAAATCTGATCCAAAATTTTCCAAAACCAACCTCCGGAAGCAGCTCAAAGTAGCTTATGAGGCAAACCAATCCTGATACTACTGCTTGTTTGCTGCTTGTTGGCGGCGGCTGCTGCTGCTGCTGCTTGTTTGCTCCTGCTGGTGTGCTGCTGTGCTGCTGCTATTGCTGTTGTTGTTGTTGTGGTGGTGGTGGTAGCTGCTGCTGCTGCTGCTGGTGCTGCTGGTGTAAATGCCTACTGCTGCTGCTTCCGCAAAGGAAATGGAATATTTTCGTATAAAGCCAAAACATTTTTCAAACACTAAAACGCCTTGTAAACAGGAACCTGATGTGACCCTGATGTGACCCCGTCGCATCGGGCCCCCCCTTGCAGATTAACAGTTTTCCAGTCACCTGATGTGACTAATATTGGTGACAGTAGCTTTTGATGATGCAACAAATTTTGAGCGACAGACGCCGTCCAGAGACCACAAGTGTGAATTCTTATTGGTGTTGTTTCTTTTTGCTGGAGGATTGGTGATCGGCGAGGTATCGCTTGTGCATCGCCATTTTCTCGCTTGTGCGTCGGGTTTACATTGATGGGCTTGTTGTCAAAGGCAATCCTCAGATCACAGAGGCATGGCAATCCTTGGGTCACAGAGAACTGTGTGCATCGGTTGCGTGCAGATGTAGGATGTGATGCTATAGCCATCGGCGCGTAAGTGAGCTTCAAACTGACACGTAAGTGAGAGGTCCGATGCGTAAGTGAGAGCCGATGCGCAAGTGAGCAAATTGTCGATGCGTAAGTGAGCGCCTGGCCATTGGTGATGCAGAAGACGCGCATCGTTCTGCATGTTGAAGAGGCCACGGAGGCTCGGCCTGTTGGCGCAGACGGCCGGCCCCAGTATAGCAAGCTAGCTTGGCTATGTTGTCACCGTTACGGCATCGCCGGATTTAAGGGGTTCCGCCCTCCACGCGGAAGATGGTCTTCGAAGAGGCCTACTCAGTG